ATAAAATAATTCAAAATTCATTATTATTATATCAAAAATAAAAATAAAAATAAAAATAAAATAAAAATACCTTGACATTGAAAAATGCATCTTGTGAACAATATCTAATATCACAAGCTGTGATCAAAGTAACACCTATTCCAATACATGCATTATGAATTGCTGCAATAACAGGCTTATAACAAGTTTCTATCGCAGTTATTGATTCTTGAAATAACTTTATATATATAATTATTTGGTTTGATTAAAAAAATTTTAAATGATTAAAAAAAAATTATTATTAAGTTTTTAATTTTTATAGAAACAAATTACCAATAGTGTATTACGTGTTGTAATTGCTTTTCTAGCAGCATCTGGTTTATCTATCGTTAAAGTTGATCCCAAGCTGTTAACTAATCATATACATATAAATATGATTATTATAATAAGATCTTAATTATTTAAAAAAGATAATAAATATATCTCCAATTATCCAGTTTTCTTTTACCATCAATTCCTGCAGTAAATAATTTTCCTGCTCATGATATAACCACAGGTCTAACATCTGGATCCGTCTTTATAGTTGAAAAACATTTACCAATTTCAATCCAAGTACTAAAATTAATCATATAAAATTAATTATATTTCTTTCTTTTACAAAATAAATAAATAGATAAATTACAAACAGATTATTAATGGCATTAAGTTTAGAAGGTCGTGATAATTCCACATGAATAACATTCTCCAAAGGAAAATTTACTTTTAAAGTTTCAAATTTATATTGACTCATTTTTACCTTTCATTAAACAATAAATAAATAATGATAAAACCAACATCTGAAAATTTCCCAAATAGCAATTTTTTTGTTTCACAAAAATGACAGAAGTTTCAATTAATTAGTTTCAGATTTTTTTAAAAATCTACGGAATTCCCAAGGCATATTTGTTCAGTATTTATTTAGAACAAAATTTAACATTTTATTTAACAATTCAAAATGAATATATGCATCATATCATATATGTATACATATACATGTAAAGAATTTATTATTTTAGTACTCAATTAATTCTTTTTTTTGATACAAATCCCATATGGCCTGACATCTTCGCCACTCTTTGAAATCCAACAATCATTAGCACCGGTTGTACTTTTAATCTTTTCCAAGTTCTTTGGATTTACTCGATGCTGAATTATGATGATATATTTATTCCCCCCAAACTCAAATTCCGGTGCATACAATTCAGCTACATTCACACTTGGTGTGGTATAAATACCGTAACAAAAATCAAAACGTTTATCTTTGCTCAATAAGGATCCAGCATCAGCAATTGATTGCGCATTATGCTTGGCCGTGCCATGATATGATACCGGCCAGGCATTCGCTCCAGTACCAAGCCATTGGTCATTACCATTATCATACTTCCCAGAAACCTTTAAAGCATGGCGTTGCCATCCACATGGACGTTGATAAGGAACACCACCACGTATATGTACAGTTGCTCCATCATTAACATTTGTAAAATCATAATTATAACTTGGTTCCAAAAAATCAGAACTCAAGCAACTAATTACATTGCGATCTCCGTCACGAAGACGTAAAACAAGGTGCACCGTATCTTCATTTTTGATACCATAGTCAGAGAGCGTTTTAAATTCACCCAATTGCATACCATCGAAAATAAAACGTTGTTGGTCTTGTGGAATACCTTCTTTATCTTCAATTTTATTTTTCAATTCTAGAATGGTCGAAAGACTACTGATAGGTACTGGAATGTGTCTACCAGTAAGAGTTTTCACATTAATCGTCATGTCTTGATGTTTGGGTTCTAACTTCTGGTCTGAGTGAGTGCCCACATTACCACCGATAAGATTTACTTGATGAAATGAAGCCAAGTCAACCCGTTGATAAAGACCAGGATCACCTCGGGTTTGTTTTGTTTTAAATTCGCTTTCCGAAACAGCATTTTGGCTAGTCATTAAAGCATTAAGTGCAGCATTAAGAAGATTGTTTGACATTGGTGAAGAATTGGCAGCTATTATTTTTAAATTGTATAGATTATTATGAAAAGATAGAACACTTAAACATTGTTATATATTCAATTTTTTAACAATAATAATCAATAATCAACAATTAAAATGTAGGAACATTACAACGTCTTCCAAAAGTTATTGCAAATGATAGTCTAGTCAGAGAATTATGTTATACTTGTCGCAAGTAAATTTTAAAGATTTTAGTTTCTGTTTTAAAAAAACTTTGTTAATTAATGATTAAAACCGAATTTGCTTTTTTTTTAAAAGTATGTTTGCAGATGAAGCACTTTCAGCTGGTTTAGTGAATAAAGTATTTCCAACAAAAGAGGAAACATTGAGCAAGTGTTAATTATTTAATAACTACTAATATGCAATATTATTTTATTACTATACTATACTAACAAGTAAATTATTTTTTTGATCTTTATGTAATTAATTGATTGATTAATTAATAGAGGAAGCGATGAACGTTGCAAAAACCATTGCGTCAAAATCACCAGTTGCGGTAATGAGTACAAAGTAAGAAAATTGTATTTATTTTCCTCGTCATCAAAGTTATTATCATCTTTGCTCTTAATTAATTAAACTTTTATTACATTTTTAATAATAATACAAGACATCTTTTAAACTATTCACGTGATCATTCTGTTGCTGAAGGTCTTGAATACACCTCGGTATGGAATGGTTCAATGCTTGATACTAAAGTGAGTTGATAATTACTTGAAAAAAAAATTTTTCTAAATTATTTTTTAGTTACTACATTTTAATTTTTAATTTATTATCATGATTAGGATGTGACTGACTCTATTAATGGTTTTATGACAAAAACCAAACCAATCTATTCAAAACTTTTAACTAATTGATTCTTTTTTTAAAAAAATTTTGTATTTTAATTATTATTTTACATATATTATAATCAAAAATTTTTGTTGCAAATTTTTTTCTACCTCTTAAATTACAATTAATCTTAAAAAAAAAAATAAATCCTAAATTATAAATGAAAAAATCTTGATTCATTGTATATATTATATATTTGGTTATGAAAAAAAAAAAAATCCTGAAAGAAAATCAACAACAACTTACTCTTTTCACATACAATTCAAACATATACATACATACATATATTTTATTTTTTAAATATTTAAGATATGAATCACTAAACATCAACATCACCGCCAACTTCACCACGATCATTAAGAATAATATCAACAACTTCACCACGATTATTAATAATAATATTGTCATAATCATCACTCAATACAAGAGCCTCACTAAAATTATTATCAAGATTATCGTCATTGTTGATTTCAACATTAGTAACTTCATTTTCATTTTCATTTTCATTTTCATTCTCATTCTCATTCTCGCCACTTTCAGAATTGTCGGAACCAACATTATCATCATTATCACCACTATTATTATTATTTGCTTCTATATTTGTATCTCCATCGTCTTGATCATTTGTATTGTTGGTGCCATCTGGTACATCTGCTTCTCCTTGTTGTTGCTGCTGTTGACTTGAAACTATGGTTTTTAAACACGATCTTAAATCCTTGACTCCCTTACCACTAAAAACACAAAAAACTTGTCGTTGATGAAGTGTAAATTCTTTTGGTGGCTGTCTACAAAAAGTTTGCACATCCTGTCTTAGAAAAGCGGGTACGCCAGTTAAAGAAAGATGTGTTAGATGATGACAAGAATTAACTAATTCTGAAACTGCTGGAATTGTAAGCCGTGAACAGTATGACAAATGTACACGTTCTAAAGTGTGTGTGACTACTCTGTTTTCAATTAATGCATAAATGGCTCGATCAGTGATCAATGCACATTTCACCAATCCAATACGACGAAGTTTTGGAAGGTGTGACAATTCAAAAACTGATTTATCCGATAAAAGAATACAACAAGCAAGATCAAGATATCTTAACCTGGTACAATTACGTGCCAATTGAACTATTGATTCATTTGTGATATTTGAACAATGGCCTAAATGAAGATAGTGCAAATGTTTTCCCAATCTTGTGATGTGATTAACTCCCTCGTCTGTAATGCTTGTGCATTTGGCCAAAACCAGATTTCGCAATTTTGGCGAACTGTGAACTATTTTTTTTATTGCTTGATCAGTGATCATTGCGCATGATGTAAGATCGAGGATACGTAATTGATCAAATGATACTGGCATTGATTTGATGAAAGGTCCTTCAGTCAAATATGCACAATAAGCAAGTCGAAGTTCTCTTAGTTGATTACAATTTTCAAAAACTGGTTTGATTGCATCATCCGTTACATGGTGACAATTGGTAAGATCTAATTCTAACAAGTTGGAACAATTTTCAGCTAAATCAATAACAGATCTGTTGGTAATGTTCTCACAACCGCTTAATTTTATCTAATAAGAGAGTGTGAGACATTTTAGTAAAATTAATATCACCAATATTTTAATTAGTTAACTTCCAAAAATTTATCCAAACATTAAATATGATCGCTTACCCTCCTTAAGCCTTTACATCTTGACGCAACAGCTGTAACTCCTTTATCAGTAATATTTTTGCACATGCTTACATTCAAACCTTGCAATCTTCTACATCTTTCGCCCACCAATTCAATCACAACATCGGTCAAACTTTCAATATCTGACATATCCAATGCTATCAAGCCTTCAGTTTTATCTATTAATTTTAATAAACTTTCATCGGTCAACTTTTTACACCCTCCAAGCGTCAACCTTTCTAATCTTTCACAAGAACTTAATCTAACAAGGATCTGATCGCTAAGATTTTCTCCCAAATAAGAAAAATTAAGACGACGAATAAGAAGTGGATAAGGAAAAGTTTGAGTTGTTCGCGATATTGCTACTAGCAGTCTAATGAGAGAAGCATTTCCAGTAAAGATTGGTTTATGCCATAAAAGTTCAACTCCACACCTACACCACGATTTACAAACTAAAATACATGATTTTAAATCTGTTGTAGTTGTAACAAATTTGAATATATGAAACACTAATTCTGATGGTATGATGGCTGCTTTACTTGGTTGTTTTTTATAAAGTTGAATTTGTTGTGTATCTTGTGTTAAGTTTATTGTTTCAAATGTCATTTTGTTTAAATTATTTATTTATTTGTTTATTTAAAAGAATTTTTCAAATACTCCTCTGAAAGAGAATCTATTCAAGAAGAATTAAATAATAAAATAATAATAATGTCAAAAAAAATGAATTGAATTGTATGTAAGACAAAATAAATTTCCAGTAATAGCAATAGTAATAAAATGACAAAACGAATTAATTTTAATTATTTAATTATTCGAGATTATTACAATTATAGAAATTTTAAATGTTTATAATGCAAATAATAATAACAATAACAAATAATAGGGTAAAACGCCAAAATTTTAAATATGGTTAAAAAAAAATTTATTTGAAAATTACGAAAAAAATTATATTGTTTGAAGTTTCAAAAGCCTAGAGAAAATCTACCCGTGATAGATCAACAACACACACATACACTTTAATAATGATGACGATGATGATAGGTTAAACCATTTTTGGAGTCCTAACAATCATTAAGGCCTAAAGGTCAAGTACGACACCTTCATGTAAACGAATTCGAAAACATGACTGATACTTTGAACTTGGATTTTTTGATAATTTAAAAGATTATTCGGTCTTGCAGATTTATCTGGGAAAGAATTCTTGAAGTTTGCATGTACTATTATTAGAGTAAAGATGGGCATTGGAAGGGCTCCATATCCACACCAGGTTATACATCTATCCACTTTCATCAAAATAAATAAAGATCTGGTTAGAGGCAAAGCAATAATAAGTTTGGACCGTCACAAAGTGAGAAGCCATCTTTTAATCTTCCCGATCCTGAAGAAGAGGCCAAGAGGTTTTGATACCAACACAAATTGAAGGGTTGAGTGCTGCTGTGATCTGTTAGAAGATATTGGTACTTTGTAACAAGTAAATTTTATTACAACTGACTAATAATTTTTGGCAAACAACTTTATTATACTTCCTATGTAACATCCAACAATTAAATATAGAATCACCCATTTTCCCAGAGTTAGAAGAAATCTTGGATAGTTGAGTGTGTCGTGTGGAAGAGACTGCCATGGAAATTCAAAATATTTGAACAATGTTGTTGGGTGCCTTCAGTGTTTGTAGTGCATATAACATTCTATCACACTAGAACTAGGTTTTATGATATCAAAAGACCTCTTCTGTAAGAAATAGTTGAAGATGCTGGATGCAAACAATTTTTTTTTATCCAATAATACCATATTGTTATTTGGGACCTTTACAATAAACAACACCTTAGAAGCTGTTACCATTAATGAAATTAGAAGATAAATGTAAGAAGATTTATGAATTCTTATAGAATAGGGCCTTCAGGTAATTTTTGCAATAAAAAAAGTTAAATTTTTTTATTTGTATTATCTATAACAAAACATATATCATCTATGTTTTTTTTAATATTATTTTTATAATCCTATATGAACGAAGCATCAAACATGCTTCTAATTTTTAAAAGTGAATTTGTTAAAAGATTAGGATCCAAGTGAATTAACGGTTCCCTGGGTGCATCTTTTCTATCGCCCTAATCTCGTCAATTCCGACCTCTTCATCAATTCTTTCTTCTCTCTCTTCAGTGTATATTGTCTTTGGATAGGACACAAAGCCAACCATGTTGCATGATGGAGAGACAAAGCGGTGGATAATAACGTATTTCATAGTTTTATATCTTGCTTTTGATCCGAATGCAACCGTCTGAATGATATTCACCGATTATTCATCGGGTGTTGAAAATTTTCACCGGATATTTCTGTGGTACAGAATATTAACTCGCGTAAATGAAATTTTTTTAATATTATTTTTATCCACTATTATTACACTATCGCCAACATTCTTTTTATTATGATATATTAAGCAATATGAATATCCAACTATGTCATTATTAGCTAAAAAATATTTATGCATTGCAGCAACTTCTACAATTGAGTGAAGCTGGAAACACGATGACAACCAAACGAACAAAATCAAATTGTTATTTGAAAGGATTATATTTCTTAAAAAAATATATGCAATGTATTGAAAAATATTTTTCCTGGTTAATAAACAATTGTAATTAAATTTAAATCAATGAATATTTCAGTGGATTCGGCGGATATTCGTGAATGACCGATTATCCGGGCGTTGAATTTATTGACTGACCGATTATCCAAGTGTTGAGCTTTGTTATTATTGATTGGTCAAATACTCAAACACTCGGATAATCAACATATCAAACTTACTGGTGATATTCACAGGAAATTAAAAATATATGGAAGGATTTTAAGCCATTATTTGATAAAAGATTGGATTGAATCCCGAATTTCCATTCAGTGAAATGGCCATTGAAATTTGTAAATTATTTGAAGAGAAAGGAATTGTTACTTCTATAATAAAAAACTTTTACCAACGCAAAACCAATCCTAGAAGGAAAACATTAGAAGCAATCCAGAGAAAAAAAAAGAAAAAGAGACAGAGAGTGAAGATGAAAAAGATAATAAATATTAGTAATAATAATATTATCGATAAAAAATAGCAATAGTAATAATGAAAGTTAAATTTTTGTCAGAGTGCCCAAAGAATACAAATGGCTTTGGGTCCAAATATTTTCCTCCCATGCAAGTGCTCTGACAATTCTTTAACTTGTATTTATAAATTATTTATGTATTTTTCTATTATCAGTTGAATTAAATAAAAATAATTCGTTTAATTCTTTTTTTTTTTTTCAAAATGGAAAATATCGTAAAAATCGAAGAACAATTAAAAGATGCAAAGGATGAGTTGAAGAAGTGGAAAGAAAAATGGGAAGAGAGG